AAGAAATATGAGATTTATTCCATTAAAAATTTACTAGAGCAGTTGTTGGATATAGGGATGGACACACACAATGGAAATTGATTAGTCGATTGATTTTAGTGTTGACGTTGTTCGTTTCAACAACTACTACGGCGAGAACCTTATCAACAATGAAACATGAGCGATGAATTACTCGCCGGTTGCTCAAGTAATTATTTGAAACAGAGCATACTAATGGTATGGATGTAGACTCCATTATTGATGTATTCGCTAAATTAAAAACACCATCGTGAACAATTGACATTGTAAAAAGATATAAAATCATTATCCTTTTTACGGTATCTAATTTATAATGAAATGCGGCCCAGTACGCTACTGTGTTCTGGATCTGCCGCTGCGTAGAACTCATGCTATCCAGATTTTAATTCGTTAGAGTGATCTTGTCAATCAAAACACTACACTTTATAGAATTACACTGCAATTTATACAACAAGTAGAATTCATGCAAAAACCTATTTATTCCCATGTACTTCCCTCATAGACCTTTTTGAGTATACAAGAAGATCATCCGCGAAGCATAAATTGGTTAACTCAAGAGACTTACGGCATGGATGGAATGGTACTTGATTGTTTATTGCATAAGTTCTTAGCAAGTAGTGAAACACCTCCATCACTACTATGAATAAACTAGATTGTACCCCGGCCCGTTGGCCGGTTGCAATACGATAGTCGTTATTAACAAAGGTTGATGTTTAAATTTCAGTAATCTCCTCTTATATTCTTGCCATACTTATATGTCAACGTCGTGTGAATGAACAAATAATGGTAACATTTGCCTTCTATGTTGATTCTTGTTGAAATTCAAAAGGTAAGACTTATGCTAGAGTATATTAGCTCATATTAAACTCAATGTCACAATATTATAGGTACTCCAATGTAATCGGTTTATTCATCAACAATTTTCATTTTTAACTCCACTATCTTCATCATCAATAAACACTTCGACCTTTTGTATTTTCTGCGAAGCAAATTCAAACACGAAGAATGATTTATACATGATATGTAATTTTCATGACAACTTACATAATTTTAGTCACAAATGTTGTTGGAGGTTAATTTTTTCCATCATTGATTATCTTCGAAATTGTTAACCGAGTTATGGGATTTGTGATGTTGTAATCACTAAACTTGAAACTTCTACCTCAGCTCATTTTTTTTTAATACTACTTTCCTTCATTTAATGAAACATTAGTGAGAGGAGGTATCATTCTTCAATTATTTTTAGTAGCTTTTCATAATTAACTCTAAAAATTTGGATTCTTGATGACCAAAAGACAACAAAATCATATTTTGTAGTATCCAAAACTCAAGTTGGAACTTAAATATGAAATGCGTTAGTAATTGCTTGGTAGTATCTATCATTCAAGTTGGGTCTTAAATATAAAAATGTTAATAATTGAAATTCATTATTTAGAAGAACATATAAGATTTAGTGAGGATGATTCTTAAATTGACTTAATTATCATCTAACAACTATAGAGTTTGATGTTGCTAGTCAATTATCACAAAACAACTCATCCAAATCTTCTTTCATTTTCTTTGACAGGTTCTATATTCTGCATAGCACCACAAAAGATTCTTAAATTTGTCGATTTAGCATTGGATAAAATAACAATTAGCCTAAAAAAACTAATTAGGATTTGTATCTTGATCAATCATTAGATTCAAACAGATATTTGGTTACTTTTGCATAAATGACCATATTTGTGAATTATTAAATTCAGTGGCATAACCAGGATTTTGTAAAGTATGACTCCATTTAGAAAAAAATACATATGATAAAATAATTTTGTTAGCTTTTTAAATCATTCATGATATAGTTTTGTAATTAGAAAGACTTGGTAAATTAAATATATATCAAAACTATCAAGAATATCACTCTATATGTATCAAACCATTAGTCATGATTTATTTAGACATTTGATTTTGAACGGAGTTCTTTGTCAAAACCATTTAGTATTAATAACTCGTATTGTTGGAAAAATTGAATAATGAAACTTATATTATTTAGTATTTACTAACACTTCCCTACTAACCAAAACCAACTTATACGTGTTTAAAGTTTTCACAAATTCGAATATTATGTGCTTAACAAATGGGTCGCCAAGATTCAAACACATGATGTGTCGGTCAACCATTCTCAATTAGAAGTGCCCTAAATTTTATTCTCAATTAACTATTATACTAATTTACTCATTTTCGTCCTTTGGAGCCACCCGTTACACTTTCACTATTTCTGATTGAAATAAAATCATTTTTACATATTAGCTATAATTTGATAGAAATTTGTTGTAGATATTAAATAAGTACGTGGTCTTTTTCATACCCGATTAATTATTATATCTAATCTACCATATTATCTCTTGAGTCAGGGTAGGTCCCGGGTTCCTCCCTCTAACTCTCTCCATCCGCCCCTGGTTAAATCGAAACATATGAAACTTTTTTCATATGATATGATTGCATGCATGTTGAATGTTGATGGACTAATCTTTATATTTATTTGTAACTCTAAATTCTAAAACTCTAGTCGACTACGGGAGAAAAATAAATGAAAAGGTGCAAGTGATATAGAATAGTAGCTCATGTAGTTAAAAAAAAAAAAATAGTAGCTCATGCACCGAAAAGTGGGATTAAAAAGTGTAAAATGGCCTTCCATGCTTTGCGGGGAGAGCAGGAAAAACAAAATTAAGGAAGAACCTACTTATACATGTGGGAGGATATAGTGACAATGGATCGCTTTGATTTTTTTTTTTTTTCACGGCGAGGTATCCATAAAGGCCCCCAATCAGGGTTATACTAATCATAGGAGTCTAACAACTTTAAGAATGAATCAGAGAATTTCATTGCTATTAAGACAGTGAAAAGAAAGTTCCAAATTACCGAATTGAGTACTTTCATGAGATCAATATGAACTGTGCAACTTAAAATCCCAAGTATATGATTAGACGAAGGAGGAAACCAAAAAAATGTGCAGTTGGCAACATAGTTAGTAAAATACGATACGGAAAAGTTACGTATAAAATATGTATGGGTATTATACTTGTTTCTTAGTTAATATTACTTTTAACAGTACGTTAATAGTTATAAATATATAAAATTATTTATTTTTATAAATAAATAAATATGTAAAAAATGGTAAAGTTAATAATTTATTTCATTAAATACGGATATTAAATGTGTTATACGGGTTTTATGTGTGTTTAGTACTGGAGCCGTCAAATGAACGAAAAATCATGAAACGACTTGACAATAATATGGATACGGAAGTTTTAAACGAATAAAGTACGTACGGATACATATATGTGTATTAAACGGAGTATTTACTAACTATGATTGGCAAACCGAATGAAAAAAAATAACGACATATGACCTCCAACCAAAAAACTTTGCTGCAAGTCAACCAGTGAGTATGTGACTCCATTTCTCTTACCGGGTCCGGATAAGTTCAGTTCAACCCGAGGGTGGACAACCTTTCTTAACAAAGGCCATAATTTTGAATATCATAGAGAAAGAGTAGAGAAAGAGTGTTAATTTTGAATATCATCGAGAAAGAGTGTTGTTGCGACACACACAATCGATGCCCATTGTCCAACGAGACAGAAGGAAAACCCCAAACTATACATCAAAATAACTAAATTGGTCTGAAATTTGACCAAAATAAATGTTGAATTTTTTTAAAAAAGCCACATAATCTCATTTTTCGATTAAGTTAAAAATAAATATGAAAAGAAAAGAAAAATAATAATAAAAGAGATAAATGGTAATAGGTGGAAAAAATTAAATTTTTAAGTGTTCTGTGCTGGTTGGGCGATGATGTGGCACGTTGACGGTTAGTCAACACGTTTGACCATCCAAGTTAACGGTCAAACATAGAGTTCGGCCAATTTAGTTATTTTGATGTATAGTTTGCGCCAGGATGTTATAGATCAAAAAGATTGGTCATGATGTTTATTTTGGTCAAAGTTCATACCATACAAATATATTAACCTTTTGTTTATTGAAAATTTCCTCTTTCAGGAAACTATTGTCGCCTGGTGCTAGTTTAGCACTTTAGCTAGTGCATTTTTTTTTTCTCCAAGTAATGACATGAGAAAAAATAGTTAGAAGTCTCTACCCAAAATCTCACCCAAAGCAACACTTTAGTGAAGCCACCCTACAAAATCAAAGGACGCTACCTCTAAAGAGGACAACAACAGAGCTTTAGGTGCCACTCTATGGGCAGCTCAGTTGACAGTCCGCAGACCCACACTAAAATCTATACAAAGAGAGCATGAAACTAGGAGCCGATAACACTCTTGAAGCAGTGAGTCGTCTATCGAATCTTCTACTGCTCTACAGTCCAGTTGCCGAATCACCACTTCAGGATCACCTGACAGCAAGGTGCTCTGCTAGATAGGGATCGAAAACTCCTTGGTGCTGGGATCCCAGGCAAGTAGAACTTGCCTGTCTGTCCCATGTACGACGAGGCCAGACGAGCAACCGGAACGACAAACAGCAGCATTATGTTTGGCATCTGAGAAAATATTTTCCCATTTCCCCTTTCTTTCCTTCTTTAATTTCTAGTCGTCGTTTCTGGGCAAGGTTGTCAAACCGGTTTATGCCGGTGTGCCGGTTTAGCAAGTGGAATGGTTCAACCGGTGGCACATACCGGTTTGTGCCGGTTCATGCCGGTCAATATTACAAATAAAATTATAAATACTCATATTTAAACATGACATTTAACGTCAATACCTAAACATTTATACTTGAATCCAACAAATAACATCAATATTTAACTTTTATACTCATAAAATAAATAATAAAATAATTTTTATCAATTAAATTCTCTAAAATGAGGTCATTTTACTTAGAGATTCGTATATCGATCATGCCGGTCATACCGGTGGTGTCACGCCGGTTTTATGACCGGTACCGGTTGAACCCGGTACAACCGGTGGCACGCCGGCCGGCGTGACAACCATGTTTCTGGGTGAAAACACAGTCGTCGAGCGATAAACTTCCACAAGACATGGCTCCCCGAATCTGCTCGCAACATCGGAAGCAAGATGAATAAGCACTGAACAGTGAACACGATCCTTTCGCTCTCCCTCTCTATATCCATCTCATTTTTGGGAGTACTGAGAGCTAGACGAAAGGGTTTGAACCCCCGCTCGCAATGGCGATTCGCAGAGAGAAACCCCAGTCGTTTCGCGGATCTCCCGTCCTCGTAGCCATTGTCGTCGGAATTCTTCTCGGTTGCGTTTTCGCTTTCTTGTATCCTCGCGGATTCTTCAGCTCCGATCCGGCCAATGCGACAACTCGTCGAATTGCCAAATCAGATCTCCAGGTTCGCAAATCCTCTGCCCTAATCCAGCTCCATTTCAAGTCTCCCCTTCACTGCGACTCTGTTTTCCCCTCGGTGGCGCTCTGAAATTCGAGGGCTTTCTGCTCTAATTAGGCTCTTCTGCGGTGGAATTGCCTTTTGCTTCTTCTTTTACATTTGAGTCCATCGACCTGGAATTTGTCTGGTGAATGAGTTTTTTTTTTTTTTTTTTGGTAGAAGTCTGGTGAATGAGTTTATGCAGGACAATCAGTTTCTTTCAAATTTTAGTAACGAAGAGGACAGGTTTCTAAAGAATTAACGGAATCTTTGTTCTTTGATTTCCTTTTCCATTGTTTCGTGCTGTGCTGATAACTTACTTAGGATAGCCAAGTTGGGGGGGAAAACTGAGAATATTTCTATTTTCAGGCTGCCAGTTCCTGCGAATCACCCGAAAGAGTTAGAATGTTGAAATCAGACATAGTATCCCTAACAGAGAGCAATGCACTGTTGAAGAAACAAGCCAGGGAGCTCAACGAGAAGCTGCAGATGGCTGAACAAGAAAAAGATCATGCACAGAAGCAAGTTCTGCTTCTAGGCAAACAGCAGAAAGCCGGGCCTTTTGGCACCGTCAAGAGCTTAAGAACTAATCTCGCAGTGCTCCCAGACGAATCAGTCAATCCTCGGCTGTCAAAACTCTTGAAAGAAATCGCTGTCCAGAATGAGGTCATCGTTGCTCTAGCAAATTCAAATGTGAAAGAAATGTTAGAGGTTTGGTTCACCAACATCAAAAGGGTTGGCATACCGAACTACCTTGTTGTGGCACTCGATGATCACATCGTCGATTTCTGCAAATCGAATGGTGTTCCAGTCTATAAAAGGGATCCAGATGAAGGTGTTGACTCTATAGCAAGGACTGGTGGAAACCATGCAGTCTCCGGATTGAAATTCCGGGTATTAAGGGAGTTTCTCCAGCTGGGGTACAGCGTCCTGCTCTCTGATATTGACATTGTGTTTCTCCAGAATCCATTTCTTCACCTGTACCGAGACTCCGACGTGGAGTCCATGACCGATGGCCATGACAACAGGACAGCGTACGGTTTCAATGATGTGTTTGATGAGCCTGCAATGGGGTGGGCTCGGTATGCTCATACAATGAGGATATGGGTTTACAACTCTGGGTTTTTTTACATGAGACCGACTTTACCAGCAATCGAGCTGTTGGATCGAGTTGCTGGGAGGTTATCTCGTGAGCCAAACTCGTGGGACCAAGCAGTTTTTAACGAGGAGCTCCACTTCCCGTCCCACCCAGGTTATGACGGGCTTCATGCTGCGAGGAGAACTATGGATTATTATCTGTTTATGAACAGCAAGGTGCTTTTCAAGACTGTGAGGAAAGATGCTAAGTTGAAACAGCTGAAGCCGGTAATTGTTCACCTGAATTACCATCCAGATAAGTTTCCCAGGATGAAAGCTGTTGTAGAATACTACGTTAATGGGAAGCAGGACGCTTTGGAACCCTTCCCCGACGGTTCTGACTGGTAGGCAGAATGTTAGAAAGCAACAGAGAAGTTTCTTCCACTATAGCTTTCACCTTGTACTAATTCCACAAAATAGGGTGTAGATTAAGTTTGATCATTTCTTATGCTGTTCAATGATGAATGCCCAGATAAAGTTTTCGCCTTGTACTATTCTGTAATTTTTTGGTTAAAAGTTTCATATTGGAAAGTTCACTTCTTTGGTCTTTAGAAAGTTCACATCTTTAATCTCTTTCTAATGAGTCCCCTTGTCTTCTGTGATTTTAGATAGATAGAAAAGAAACAACAACTGCTTCTTTCAGTGATTGCAAATAGGATTTCACTATCTGGACTCAGCGTTCTCAACCGCCAAGTGCTGGGAGTTCGAGTTATGTAGGTTTGCTCCATTTCTGCTCTGCCATTAACAGCGGTTTCATCTCTCTTTCAAATGATCAGCTTCGTGCGGTTTTACATCAGCTGTCTATTCTCTTTCTTATATTAATGTCCCCAAACACTCGATTCTATGGCGCCAATTAAAGAAGAGCCCGCCAAATTCTGGGCACTGGCCTTAACTGGACAGCAAAGTTGGATTGGGTTTTGCCTATTCTATGTCGTGTAGTGATGATTTCCGTGGCAATTAGCAGGCTGCCCGTCCTAATTTTCCAGTTCAAAACAAAGATGGCGGTACAGATTTCTTTGGCCTGTTCTGTCCCTTCCCCTTATCCCAACTTACTCACCTTCTCTCTCTCTGCATTCTCCATTTCAAAGTATTCCTGCTAACATTCGAAGTTGGATCCTTGTCAGATATTCACGCAGAGGAATACCCAGAGAGACAGTGTTCTAGTGAGCTACAATCCTCCTCCGAGGAGCCCCTATAGGAACCCGAATTCCGACCTCGATTTCAACGACGGTGGGCTGACGCAGCAGAATGTCCGGCAAAGTTTCGGCGAGGAGCCGTTAGGGAACGACCCGGAAACGGCGCCGCTGCGGACGAGGTGGTCTGGGCTGTACGAGAAGCCGGTTTTCGGAGAGCATGAAGGAGCCAAGAACAGAGGAGGAAGGATTCAAAACGGAGATTTCTTTGATGACATATTTGGCGGGAGCGAGTTGTTGAGTTCTTCTCCCAGGAGGCAGATCACTTTGTCTCCATCGAGATCCGATCCGCTTGGAAGTTCCTCACTTCCTGCCCCGTTCAGGTATCTTATATTTCCTTCCCTAGTTTTACAGTTTAGAGAGTATAGAATGATGTCTTTGCATTGCCCTTTACAGTCTACCTTCGAAGCTAATGAAACCAACGACGGATCTACCTACATTTGGTTCGAGTTCGAGTCCTCGTAGCTCTCTGCTGAAGACCAAGGAAGTTGCTTCGAGTGGAGGTATGATCAGCAACTACTCATTCTCTCCACTATCAAGATCCTCAAGCAAACCAGACTTGGTGGTAATCGAGGAGTCCAAAGACAATGTCCATCGCCAGGGTTCTCTCTCCCGCCAATTCTCCCTCAACAATGGCGACGGCTTGTCGAACATGGCCAAACAACAAGGTGTAGAACGATACAAAGGTAGCTTAGGAGACAAAAACAAAGGAGGCAGTCATGGTCATGATCATTTTCACTCAATCTACAAATGGGCCAACCAAGGAGCTCCTCCCATGTCCATGCCTCTCAGATCAGGAAACGGTTCGAGATAGAAGGACAAGTTGTTATTCACTTCATCAACAGGTGAAGCTTCTGCCGAGCTTGAGACCGAGGAAACACAACTTAAACCAGAGTTGAAACCCTTACGGTCTATGCTCTTAGACAGTGGTTCTGAACAAGGTAAGCTGTTTTTTTTTTGTTTGTCTTGTGGGATTCAAACCGTTCAGTCTTTTGTAGCAAGAAAAGATTCGTTCTTTATAGTGTTGTTCTTGTGGAGGTTGTTGTGGTTCAGGAACTTGGGAGGTAGATAGCGAGAAGGGGTTGTTGAGAGAGAGCAAAGTGAAGAGTAGTAGTAGCAAGAATGCATCTTCTGAAGCAGTTGATGTCAGCCAGAGGAAAGTGGAAGTGCAAAAGGTTGATAGTAAGTTGGAGGAAATCCGTGGAAGGAGCAGTAAAGCAAAGGGGAAGAAGGTGAAGGATTTTGTGAAGATTTTTAACCAGGAGGTGCAGAAACCTGATGTGATGAAGGGTAAACCCCAGAAGAAGCCTGAGAAGAAGAAAGAGAGGAGAGATTCCAGGACAGTGGATGATGATGGAATCTCTATGTGAGAAACACATTTATTTAGGATTTCTATTATTATATTAGGTAGGATAATTATAATTATGGTTAGTAGATATTTAGTCGTATAAGGATTACTATTAGCGTTTTCCAGTATTTCCTATAAATATGTACTTTGGGTTTACGTCATAATCAATCAATCAGAATATTAAGCAAAGTCCCCCAAACCCTAATCTCTCCTCTCAACTCCTAATTTCTATTCTCTCCTAGTCCAAGGCCTCGGCCGATTCCCATATCTATTCTTTCTCATCTAAATTCCTAATCTCAACCCTAAATCCCAATCTCACGGGTGCCGAAGATCAGTATCGAGAATCTCTAAAAGCGGGGTTCTCACAATTGGTATCAGAGCCCGATTGTGGCACTCGTACTATGGTTTCGACCAACTTCGATCTCTCAATTGAAGAATTCATCAAAGCTCTTAAGATGAAATTGGAAGCGGCAAGAACAGAGAGGAGTACGCCAACATCTTCAGTCACAGCTTGCACGACAATCGAACCGCTGGTCGCAGATATGGATTTCGACGATTGGTTAGAACAACCTGCGTTCCCAATTGAGCCCGAGCAAGGTGGAACCACGCCACCCATGATGCTGACGACGGTGGAGGAGTTGATGGTGGTGGATTCGCCGGCCACAAAAGACACACCAGCGCCACCAATCATCGCATCTGAGATGACCGAGAAAGCAGCAATCCCAGACCCTGTCGTCCCTGTGACATTAGCATCATCAATCGTTCCTTCCTCAGACGAGACGAGGACAAGGATGGATGAGCTCCTGGCGGCGAAGTCGTCGGGCCCGAAAGAAGCACCACCACCAACAGTTGCCGACGAAGCAGAGGTGGCGGATGCCGCGGCGAGCTTCTCTACAGCCTCGCCCACATCTTCGCCGATCGATTTGCCAGCTGCAAATCCGGAGATAGTAACCACGATCCGCGGCAGACGACGCGGAGCAGAAGAGTCGCCGTTCCATGGGGCGACGACGGAAGAGGTGACCAGCGTGGCAGCTGCAATCGAGGCGACGCCGGTGTAGGAGAAGAAAAACGATGGCGTCCTCGCTCCCTCTTGCAAATCGACGTCCGGTGGCGGGGTGATACTGGAGATGAGGAGTGTCGGGCCGCACTTACCTCCCGCAGCCTGACGAATCCATTGCCTGAGAAGGATTCGAAGAAGAAGCAGCGCGGCGGCGCGATTCTCTGCTCGGCGCCGAAGAAGACGCATCCGAGGGAGGAAGAGATAGAAAGGAGGCAACCGGTAGTTGAGCCGTCGCCGGAGAACGAGGCGATGCGGACAACGCCGACGAAGGAGCCTAAGGAGAAGCGCTGCGATTTCGGCGGGACTTCAACCGACGAGAGGACGGCGCTGAAGACGATGATGGGTACGTGCTAGCTTGATCGCCGTCGGAGGAATTGTCCATCGGAGCCAGGGAGGCCGTCGGGTTGCCCGCCGCCGGGAATGGAAGGTGGGAGGAAGAAGGAAGGCGGCGCCCTTCCGCCAGTCACCCTAGGCTGCATCTCCTCTCTCGCAAACCCTAGGTCGAGGAACGCGGACGGCGCAACTGGGGTCGTTGGGCCAAACGGATTGGGGCCTCTCTTTTGACGGGCCAGTGCTGGGGTCGTTGGGCCGAGAAGTCTGGGGCCGCACAGCAGCTGGGGGCTCTGTTGGGCCGACGAAGAGAGACGGGCCGATGTTTAGGCTCTCCTTGAGCCGAGTTTCACTAGGCCAAGTTGTTTGGGCCACTGGTTCTAATAGGTCCAGTGAAGGAGGATGGTCTGTTGGGGAAGATAAAATACATAATTCTTGTGGGCTAGCGGCAGCTGAGAGAAAAGCCCAGTTCGCCTCATGTCTTTGGAGGAAAGAAAGTGGGCCGAGTTTTCAGGAAAAGACTTGGACCAAGCAGAAACAAGGCCATGGACCGAATGAAAAAGAGGTTGGCCCTCTATTGGGCTGTATGGTTAAATGTCTTTTATATGGTGCAGGTTTAAAAGAGAGGGAAGATGAAGGTGGCTTCATGGGCCTAGGGGGTCGTTTGGATTAAGGTTTGTAGGGAGTGATTTGTGAGAGATTTTAAAACAATACCTAATTATGCAGGATTTTAATACAATTATGCATTTGGGAACACTAGAGATTGTGAACATCAGAGATTTCAAAATCTCTTATATGTAGGTTTTTAAAATAGCTGATGGGTATCAGCTATTTCACAATCCCTCATTTTTTATTGCATTTTTTTCCAAAACCTACCCTCCTCCATTCTGGATTATACCTATTCTTAGATCACCTTCTCACTTGTTCTTGCTTTTTCTTCGACCATCCTCAGCCGATAACAATAGTGAAATAATCGCTGACCTCCTCCGACGACCAAGGATAAGGATCGCGACATGATCTTGTTGAGTGGAAGCTATAGGATTCTCCCTCCCTTCCCGACCCCTCCCTACGTATTACTTCCCCGCAACTGAAGAAGGAAGCTGTGATTCGGAGATGGGTTTTTTGCGACGGAAAGATTGCTGATTCTGCGTGACTGGGTTTGTATGCAAGAAGACGACGAGAAGAATGGCGGAGGTTTTTGGGGTCATGAATATGTTCGGCCGTGGAGGTTTTGTGCCGATTCCTATTCGAATCGAAAGCCCATAACTCGACTCTCTCGGGCACTTTTGTTCATTCCCATCGATAGGTAGATAAGGGGTTGGTGGGTTTTTGGTCAATTTTCGTTGTCGGTTTCCAGATTCCTGGCCAACCCCACCGTTCGATGAAACGACTTTGGTCCTAGATACGGCGATTGCAGATGGAAGAAGATGATACCGCAACACTCAATCACCGACAGAGGATCTTGTTTCTGGGTTTCTTCAAGCTTATGGAGCTGTTTGGGAGCTTCGATCTCAAATATGGTGTTGACGGGAGTTTGACGGAAAATTGGCGTTGGCGACGGAGAGAAAATATCTCCTAACCGAATTAGAACACAATCAACACATTGAACGTAGATAGGAAAAAGGTTAAAGAGAGAGTCCGAAAGGGACCAGAGATTTAAATCCAAATGATGCCCAAGTAAGAGAAGAAGAAGAAGAAGCAGCAGCAATGGCAAAGAAAGAGTCGGAAAGAGAGGAAGAGAAGGTTGCTCTGTGGGGGACAATTAAGAACAGAGGAAGTGGGGCTTATGGGAAACTTTGTAATTTCACTTTTACTATTAGAAACCCTTAATCATAACCAAACAAGTTATTTGGCACAAATCTCTCATCTAAATTATCTGGGTATTTAAACGAGAGATTTGAAACCAAATCCCTTTCAAATCACTCAAATTAAAAACCTGCATCCAAACCACCCCTAGGAGTTGGGCTTCCAAGAGACTTTGATTCAAACTTACTTAGAGAAGAATGGAGCCCAAAAGAGTTTGTTTTCACCACTAAGCTCATGGAAGAATTCAGGGAACAAGACCTTAAGTGGGAGCACAAGGAAGGACAGTTCTACGATTCTTATTTCATGGACTTCGCAAGAGAGAAAGAAGAATTGTCTAGCGATGGAGAATGTGACATATGTCACGTGGGTGGAGAAGAGACAAAGAAAGTGGGAGTTGCGCGAGAAGAGTGCATTCGAGAGATCGAGCCCAATTGGAAACGAAGAAAGCGGAAGGTCAAGGAGATGGAAGTCAACTACAACCTTGAGGTCAAGGTTGGTTTCAAGGGGGATGGATTGTGATAAACACATTTATTTAGGATTTATATTATTATATTAGGTAAGATAATTATAATTATGGTTAGTAGATATTTAGTCGTATTAGGATTACTATTAGGGTTTTCCAGTATTTCCTATAAATATGTACTTTGGGTTTACGTCATAATCAATCAATCAGAATATTAAGCAAAGTCCCCCAAACCCTAATCTCTCCTCTCAACTCCTAATTTCTATTCTCTCCTAGTCCAAGGCCTCGGCCAATTCCCAATTCTATTCTTTCTCATCTAAATCCCTAATCTCAACCCTAAATCCCAATCTCACGATTTCCGAAGATCAGTATCGAGAATCCCTACAAGCGGGGTTCTCACACTCTACAACAACTAGGAGAAACGAAGAGGAACCCAACTTGGCTCCTGAAAACAACAAGGGAATTCATTTGGAGGAAGCATCATACAATGTCCAGGTGATTGTTTACATTTTTGGTTGATACATAAACCAAGATATGATAGGATAATGGTTTGGGCTTTTGGTTAGTACGGTAATGTATTAGGGTTAATTATGGGTCTAATTGCTTAGGGTTAGTAGGTAGGTTATTAGTCTATGTGCATGGGCCGAGTATGCATTAGAGTTGGATGCCAAGTTGGAGTCGTACGTACGTAGTTGAGTCGGGTAGGTTTAGGGTTAAGTATTAGGTTTAGTGATCTATATAAAAATGTAACTAGGGCATTAGTCCGGGAATTAATCAATCAATAATAAACCTAAAAAGTCTTTCGACACTCTACGTCGTGCGCTCGCTTGTGAGTTACAAGCAAAACTCTAACCCGATAGCAACGAGTTGCTATCAATTGGTATCAGAGCCTGGTTCGACAGAACCGAGCTCTAAACAGCTCCCAGGGAAGACATCGACAACGCCTGGTTGTGCTCGACATCAGAGCATGGTCTTCAACGTGGAGGCCTGCTGCGCCATGGCAGAACAGATGACGGCAACCTGTCAGAACATGGTGGCAAGGATGGATGCTTTGGAATAGTTGTTGGCGGGGTTTATCCCCGAATGCGTGACCGTCATCGAGGGGAAGCGAAGCGACGATGACGTGGCCCGCGTCGACGCCAATGCAGTCAGGGCGGCGGAGAAGATGGAGATCTCCGTCAATAACATCGACGGGAAGGAAACAGTGCGCAATGGTGATTATCACCTCCGCGAGGCTCTCACCCAACGATCTGGAAGCGATGGGAAGGAAACACTGTGCCGCGGTGATTATCACCTCGACGAGGCTCTTACCTATCGATTCCAAAGCTGCGAGCAGGAGGGGTTCGCGGTTGGGGTTCAGTCCAAGAGAGGCGCAACTACTGTTCAAAACAGACGCTCGGGAATTAATCCGGGAATTAGTCCGGGAATTAATCAATCAATAATAAACCTAAAAAGTCTTTCGACACTCTATGTCGTGCGCTCGCTTGTGAGTTACAAGCAAAACCCTAACCCTCGTTGCTATCAAGATAACAACCAAACGACAATGCCACAGGTAACTGAGCATTTGCTCCTTGGGAGCGCAGGAAACTTAAATCGACTAAACTCTCCGTTCTTTTGGTTTGAATAATTATTTCAGGTTGATGAGTATCAGAAGCAGACTGATGAGAAAAGAACGGTTGTAGAAAGGAGTAACAGTTACAGGTCTTCTGAAACTGGACATTTATCATCAGCATCAGGTGGAAATCAGTTGGAGCTCTTCGTAGATGTTCTGCTCAAATCTTTATAACCTTTTGACAGTCCTTGATGCCTCAGAAGAAGCATCTCTCGGAGACTCAAATGAACCATTCCAGTTGAGGGTGGTATTACAATTTACAACTGGTTTTAAGGATTTTTTGGTGGAGCACTTATGTGACAGGTCAGAGAATTACCATGTTCTGATTCATCCACACTTTATTTCCCGCAAGAGCACGCAGTTTCTTCGCCAGGACCAAATAATTGATCTGGACAGTACATTTCTTCAGGTGAACGATGCCAAGATAAGAAAATGGTGCCAGGGGAAGGAAGGAAACATACGATCCCTGCTCTCAACTCTACAATATGTAAGTCTTTTCGGACAAATCTTTCACCCTTCTATTCAAAATTGGAATCGGGAATCAGTCTGAAACGCTTATAAGGAGGGTTTTGGAGACCATGGTTGCTAGAATGTGTGTGTGTTCTGCGAATTCAGGCATTATAAGTGGATGGCATTAATCAGTTGATTGCTAAATTGCAGGTTCTTTGGCCGGGAAGTGGGTGGCAGCCGGTGCCTTTGATGGACATAATAGAGGGGAATGCAGTGAAACGATCATACCATGATGAATTTGCTAAATGTAATTGATATTATTAATGGAAAGCTTGAATTGATACAAAGGTTTCCTACTCTATTTATATAGGAAAGCAAAGACTATAAGAAATAATAAACAACAAGGATAATCATGCTGGAAGCATGGGCTAGAACAGAGCATGATGGGCTGTATGGGTCAGCATGGGTGGCTGCTAGACAACATGGGTGACTGCAGGCTTGATGGAGGCAGACCATTGATGAAGGCTGAAGTTGGTTTACAGTTGGAAACCATCAATGCATTAATGGTTTCCTACACTCCCCCTCAAGCGAAGACATGAATGTCAAGAATGTCGAGCTTGACCGTGAGTCCGTGACAGAGGAATAATATCTTGGATAAGGTTGATTTGGGGACTAATGACTGCGTCTCTTCGAGCAACTTGATAGGCAGATCGACACATTTGACATTGTGATCGATCTGATGACTGAACCGGTCGACTGACCTGTGTTAATTATGTTGATTCCCTATTCTCCCTCTCAAGCTGGAGCATGAACACTGTGAATGGCCAGCTTGAAAGATGTAGCATAATTGGTCTTTACCCAATAATAAACACCAAGGAGACGATCTTTTCTTGGATCGCGACTGTCTTTGAACGTCGAGGGGACGATCGCTTCTTGGATCGTACTACCGTCTGAACGTCGAGGGCATGATCTGATCGTGGCTTGCCTTGTAAAGTTGAGGGGCCGATCTTTTCTTGGGTCATGTTTTCCTTTTGACGCTTAGGGGACGATCTCTTCTTGTATCGTACAACCGTCTAATAACGCCAAGGAACGACCTGATCGGGAAAACCTCACATAGTGACTTGCCTTTTTTTTTGTGGCAGAAACTGTCATTCACTCTAACAATAGCTAGTGAAGGGACGACCAACTCTTGTATCGTGATTATCTTCACTGCTTTGACGTTGTTTGGTGATGATTCACTTTCTCGCCTGCAAATGAAACTTGCCACAACCTTAAAATGGGACATTAGAACATAGGGAAGACGACTTAATTGTTACCAACTTGACTCGAGTTGGATGTTGGGAAAAAGAAATTCACTTTCCCGGTTGCTGTTTATGATCAAACCGGTGGTCTTCTTTAGGGCTCGACCATTCTTCTAGCCCAATTGAGACACAACAACTTTAATTGGTATTGGGCTGGTGCAATTTCAAACCCAAATGTCGAAAGTATGGCCCAATTCTGCCTTTGATGGGAAGATTGACGTAGGTCCAATTTTGAATTTGTTGAGGAATGGAACAACTAAATTACATGTTTGGTCACTCAAATTATACAAATCTTTCACGTTTACCACTCGAATTGCTTTTCTTTCTTGCTTGCCACTAACTTTACGAATCGTTTCACCGTTGGTCACCGACCGTTACACTCTAAATTTGACCTACGTGGCAGTCAACTATAAAGTTTGACCGTTAACTAGATGACGTGGAAATTAAAAATGGAAAAAAATTATTTTCCACCTCAGCTTACTTTGTCATGATTTATCATATTAATTATTTAATAAAAATTAATTAAATTACAACAGTGGGAGGAAGAAATTGTATGGGCCGTTGATATTACCCATTTCCTCTTCTTCAACTTCGCTTTGTCGGAACTTCGCAACGGCAACGACACGGATTCATTCCCCAAGGGTGGACCACGCTTGTGAGGGTGACGAGCAGGAGAAATGTGGGTCGGCGAAGAAGAAAAATAGCGAGCCAACGGTGGTTGTTTGGGAGGGTCGAATCGACGGTGTGTTGTGTTGTTTGCCTGAAGCTGATACTCGTCGGGATTCTCCAACCCGAAGAAGCAATCGAGCATCTCGGAGACGATCGAAGATGCATCGGACCTTCCCTGCTCCAGAGAACGTCCCGAATTGAGTGCGTCGAAGAACCAGTGCTCTCGATTTGACGACCCGACGACCCGTCGAGAAGCTAGCTGATGCTGTTAGTTATCGACCTAATTTTTCTCTGCCTTCCTTCCAACCTGACTGACCTTGAACTACTCAGACGTATGCTTTCACATTCCTACACAACTCTGTTTTCTCTTCATCTGGTGTCTTTAATCACCCATATTCACTTAAATCAGTCGTACGCCGCAGTGGTCGGACTGGGACTATGTCGGAATTCCACCGTCGGAAAAGGAAACAAATCGAAACTCTAACTCTGGGTTTGCTGTGTTATTTTTCCGTGTGTTCCTTATTATATTATATATGTCTTGTTTTGCTCTTTGGCTTGACGCTCGTTTGGTTGAGGCGGTGCTCTGTTATGCTCAAGAAGAGTGAAGAGAAGGCATGGGAGAAGACAGACTAAATGGAGGAGAGTCTTAATAAATTGCTAATATTATATTTTTTTAAAATAATTAATATGATAAGTGGAATAATGAGGTGGAAAAATATTTTTTTTAATTTTTTTAATTTCCACGTCATCTAGTTAACGGTCAAACTTTATAGTTGACTGCCACGTAGGTCAAATTTAACGAAGTTTAACGGCCGGTGACCAATGGTGAAACGATTCATAATGTTAGTGGCGAATAAGAAAGAAAAGTAATTCGAGTGACAAACGTGAAAGATTTGTATAATTTGAGTGACCAAACATGTAATTTAGCCGGAATGGAACGGCCATTTGTTTGACAAATCCCTTCCTCGACTTCTCCGCCTCCTCTTTTCTCTTTGTGCCGGCGCTGCATTCTTTCTTTCTCTTTCTGACCAAGCTCACTCCTTCCTCTTTTCACCGCATCTCTTCGCCTCTTCTATTTTTTTTTTAAACCCACCCCTGTCTTCTCAAGCCAAAGGAATCGGCTCTCTCTAGCTCAACTGATCCAGTGGCTATTAACGACGACGACCAGGGCTTTAACTGTTGGCGACGATCGATGGCGAGAGCACCGGAAGCGGCAACTGGTGACGGGAGCGTTTAAAGAAAACGACTGCTCCTCTGCTTCTCTCAGCATCGACGGCAATTGGGAAATCGCAGTGAACCCCGCTGCTCTGCTTCTTCCCTTCCTTCTCGTCGGCGAGACGGTGGCGCTGTGAGGGATCGACGATGGCGACCCGGCGGAGCATCAACAGGAGACGGAGAATCAATGACCAAGCCTTCTTCTTTGACTCACGCCGGCTGTTCTTGCGGAGAAGGACAACGATGGCATCTCGGTGAGCTGGAAGACCGGTGACAGGAGGCGATAATGAGATCTGGCCGGCCCTTTTTGGCCTGTCTAGATCTTGCCGATGACAACGGCCGCGAACAGAACAGGTAGCGGCGGGATCTGAAAGCTGCAGTGGCGGTTCAATGAAAATGCCGCCGATGAGAACTAACTTTGACTGGGCGCTGTAGCCGATGATGATGTCGTCAGTCATATAGGAACATGCACGGCAGCGGTGTACTGGCGACGATGAAGTTGCAGCGGCGACACACGTGACGGCTTGAAGGACTTCGTCACGAGCTGATGGTGATGGCCGGGACATGAATGGGTGGTGATGGCCTTGACTGAGAGGCGGGGCCGGAGTGGGAGTGGGAGGCCGGAATGAACATCGGCTCCCATTGGGATGGCAGTGGCATCCGCGAATGATGGTAGTGAGTAGTGACGCAGGGATGGGCTGGAGACCCTGACGTCGGGGGGGACTATCGGCAGTTGCTACTATGAAAGTAGCTGGAGAGGAAGCCGGAACAGAGATTCTCCCCTGGGATTGACTTGCCGGAGAGATTAATATTATCTAAAATGTTGACAATGATGGCGGAAGCTTGAGAGATTGAAGAAAAGCAGTCTGGAAAGCGACTTGCTCATGATTGAAAGATGAAGTATTTAAGAAAGAAGATCTTGTAAGAAAAGTATGAACGATTCAACATCTATTCCTTTTCTTCCTTTTCTTTGATAGAACTCTATCTCTAGGGTTCTATAGGTTGTGAGGTTGATTGGGAATTTAGGGATTGGAGGATATAGGTTGTGAGGTTGATTGGGAATTTAGGGATTGGAGGATATGATTGGGGAAGAACAGAATTAGAGATTAGGGATTTAGAGGAAGAAGAAGAATAGAAGATAGAATCGGCCGAAGCCTTAGAGGGCTAGAGAACGAGAAATTAGGAGATAGAGGATTAGGGTTTTGGGAAGATAATTCGTCTATTAATCTTTGCTTAATCGAGCAGAATACCTAAAGTACATATTTATAGCTAAAGACCGGAAAACCTAATAGACTATCCTAATATGACTCAAAGACTACTAACCATATCTAATAATATCCTAATAAATGCAATAATGATAATTATGATTAAACCTAAAAAGTAGGTTTCTATCATCCCCTCCCCCTTAAGACCAACCTTGCCCTCAAGGTTGACCAACTCGACCCACTTCTTCACATTGTCTGTGCAACTCGTCCATTTGCTCCTCCATCTCTTGCGCTTCCTTTTCTTCCAATTATGCTCAATCTCACGAGTGGTTGTAACATTACCAGTTCCCGATGTCATCAATCCTTTCCCCACATCGTGGCTTGTGTGACCACGGACCAATAAGTCAATTCCTTCCAACTCCACCAAATAGCCCGTGTCACCCCTTACTTCAATTTCCGGCCCATGGTTCTTCATTGTTGGGCCTTTTATCTCCTTAGCTTCATTCCAAGGTGGTCCATGCACTCTCATTGACGGCTCGATTCCCCTGTGAAGCCCACCGACTTGTTTAGTTGACCATTCAATAGTGAATGACTCATTCTTCCTTGAGGGCCCAGCATTCAGGCCCACTCCATAGGAAACAGATGCCACTACTTCTTGAATCCTCATAGCTCCCCTTAGCCCGTTCACTTGCTCTTGTTTGGCCCACTCCTCTCCAATCTTTTGTCTGCTTAGTTGATCTGTATCAACCATGGGATCTGGCCCAACACCATAGAGAAGAGCCCACGTTAGGTTGCTCATGCATGGCCCAAGAATTGACCCGGGAGGAAACCAAGCCTCCCCTTTCAACAACCCACTCACTTGACACGGTCGGCCCAACCCGTCTCTCATCCTTGTGCGGCCGGTCATCATTGTCTGGCCCAAACCGAGCCCAATGGAGCCTTCCTTCGTCCACCCGTACAGCTCGACAGGCCGACCCGCCACGAAGCCCACAGGAATTGGATGTTGGACGGCTTGCCCTAGGATTGGCGAACCCTGGCATGCGAAAAGAGCAGCAGCGCCGCCCTCCTTCTTCTTCGCTTTGTTCTCCGACGCATCCATTCCCAGTCGCGATGAGCTTTTGCACCGGCGAGAAGGCCATCCAGCTTTCATCCCTCGCATCTTCTTTTCCTCCCTGTCGGTCGTTGCCTCGGTTGGAGGCGCCTTCAATAGCACGTCCTGGTGGATCATCGGCTTCGTCATCCTTTCCCTCTCCTTGTCGGTCTCTGCCAAGAATGAGGATGCTGGCAAAATTCGCGCGATTCGAGACGACGACGCAATCTTCTGCGGTGAACTCTTCTCCCAACGGCAAGGGTCAAGCCCGACTCTAGCTTCGTCCCCTCGACAGTCGCCGCCACTCTTCTTCAATATTCTCGGCGGCGAACCTTTCTTCACCTCAACCTCCTCCTTTTCTTCTATCTCTGTTGTTGAGCGCGCCCTGCCACGAGAACTCCCCTCCGTTGCTACACACCTCCGTCTCCCTTCCTTCCCGATCGACAACTCGAGGGAGGCAGCTGCCGGTCGCGGCGCCCCTCGCACGGATCGCGTTCCCGATGCCATACCTTGACTAGGCACTCGCAGAACCGACTTTTGAATCCCTGGCTCTGTCTTCTTGTTCATCGGCGGCTTCCTCTTTGGTGAACAGGTTGTTGTCGCCCGATTCGTCGTCTCTTCTTTCTTCGACGGCGAGTTGGCCTGTCGGCGGTTGGGTGACCCCGGAGGAGAGGCGGTCGTCTGCTGCGCCGACTTCTTGTCCGACCTTGCCAAGGAAGGTTTCACGCTCGTCGTAGCTGCAAGGGAAACCGCCAACTGTCGTCGTCTTGCTTGCATTACTCGCGCTTCCGGTGAATCCTTCCTTCGATCACCCAACAAGGACTCCTCTTCCTTTCCCCGCGACGGCTTCTTGCCAGATCGTTGTGCTGCTTGTGTGATTGGTGATGCAGGTGTGACCACCCTGCGGCCCATCGCCTTCTTCTTCAAGTGCAAGTCTTCCACCGATTCCTTTTTTCTAAACTTCCAGCCGTCGATCCGAAGGATTAGTGGAATTTGAACCGATCTTGATGCAGCATGGACTTGGTCATCGACAGCGGGTGATTTTTGCGCCGTCCGGCCCTTATCTACGTCATGCTTGGGCGGTGGTGAAGATAGTTTGATGGTAGCAGTTTCGTTGGTGTGGTCATTAATCGATGATGGCGTTGCACACCTCCGAGCATCTCGGTACCGTCGATCAAGAGCTTGATGCAGCAGCTCCTGCAATTGAAACCATTCCTGATCAAAGAGCTTGGATTCCCTCATTCTGGCTCAGGATTAAGATGGAGTCGTCCCCGGTTGAGAGTTGTGAAGAACTCGTTCTCGAAACGGGGCTCTGATACCAAATGATAGAACTCTATCTCTAGGGTTCTATAGGTTGTGAGGTTGATTGGGAATTTAGGGATTGGAGGATATGATTGGGGAAGAACAGAATTAGAGATTAGGGATTTAGAGGAAGAAGAAGAATAGAAGATAGAATCGGCCGAAGCCTTAGAGGGCTAGAGAACGAGAAATTAGGAGATAGAGGATTAGGGTTTTGGGAAGATAATTCGTCTATTAATCTTTGCTTAATCGAGCAGAATACCTAAAGTACATATTTATAGCTAAAGACCGGAAAACCTAATAGACTATCCTAATATGACTCAAAGACTACTAACCACATCTAATAATATCCTAATAAATGCAATAATGATAATTATGATTAAACCTAAAAAGTAGGTTTCTATCATTCTTCTTCTTTGGCTTTCCCTCACTGGAATCGGTTTCCAGCTCTGATACCATGATGAATTTGCTAAATGTAATTGATATTATTGATGGAAAGCTTGAATTGATACAAAGGTTTCCTACTCTATTTATATAGGAAAGCAAAGACTATAAGAAATAATAAACAACAAGGATAATCATGTTGGAAGCATGGACTAGAACAGAGCATGATGGGCTGTATGGGTCAGCATGGGTGGCTGCTAGACAACATGGGTGACTGCAGGCTTGATGGAGGCAGACCATTGATGAAGGCTGAAGTTGGTTTACAGTTGGAAACCATCAATGCATTAATGGTTTCCTACATACCAGAAAGCCTTTCTCTGTCTCCACCCAGATAAGCTTCAAAAGAAAGGTGCCACTCAAGAACAGAAGTACATTGCCGAGAAGGTTTTCGATGTTTTGCAGGTCAAATTTCTTCTCATTTAGTTCCCTTTTTTCTTCTCAAGTTGATGAAGATTTTGGGTTCAGCAGTTTCAGTAAAATTGTTGGTTTGATCATATTTGCAGGAAGCGTGGACACATTTCAGTTCACTTGGTAGTTGGTTCTGTTGTGTGACCGACTGATCGACCTGGGGTATTAATCCATCCGGCAGAGTCTTTTCTGTGTAATGGTGTAGTTGTTTCCGGCATAGTGGCGTAACATTTTTCATTGGTGTCATACCCCAACTATAGCTATTGAAGTTACATTGACACTCTGTTTGGGAAGAGGGGTAAATGGGAGGAGGGTGCAAATGTGAGGGGTAAACACAGTTTCCAACACATTTGCACCTGTTTGGTTAATTTGGAACAGTAGGGGGGTGCAAAACGAGAGTGCAAATTTACTGTTTCGGCTTACCCCCCGAATTGGGGTGCAAAGGAAGGAAGGAAGAGAGGGGGAGGGGGGAATTATGGAATTTTGTTTTTCTAATTGTGTTATATATAATTATATAATAATTAATATTATCAATTTCTTCTTTTTATAAATATCATTAATATAAACATTATTCGGGGTTGACCATTTGACTCTGGAAACAAGTTTATAAATGTTCGTCAAGTCAAATCTAGATCTCTTGGTTGAATCGAATTTGCATTGAAAATTAGATATACAAGGTGTTTGTGGAAAAGATAGAGAGAAATTGTTTGATTAACTCATTTTATTTGACTAAATAGTTAAAACTTACAAATTCGAACGTGTTTGACTAAGTTTGACAATTTAAGATTAAACTAGACACGAAAACCCTATATAGGATGACCAGTTAGGAGTTGAGCTTCGAGTTTTGAGATCGCTCGATCAATGATTATTACAATTGTTATAATTAATTATTATTTGAGCATTATTATATAATCACTATTTTTAGTAAAGTATATTTATTATTATATAGTAATATTTATTTTATTATTTTATGATAATATTTATAATTTTAAAATCTATTTTATAATTTTAAAATCTATTTTAAAATAATATAATTACTTACTTTGCACTTTATTTGCACCCCCCTACTTTTTCATCCAAACAACAATTTACCCCTCCACTTACACCCCCCAGCAATTTGCACCCCCAGCAATTTGCCCCTCAACTTGCACCCTCCTGCAATTTGCACCCCCTTGTTGCCAAACAGAGCGTGAAACTTCAAAAGTGGAACATAAGGTTTTTCGATGGCTTTGAAAATTGGCAATATCAACCACAAGTGGCCAATGTTGTACCCATTAGGGTGTACATGGGTCGGGTGGTTTGGGTTTAGACATTTTAATCACCCGATCCATTCACTACGGTTTGAGAAATATTAAACCCAAACCCATCCAAAAAAATCTAAACCCTACGGTTTGTTTCTAATTGGGTTGGGTCGGGTTGGCGATATTTTTAAGTAAAAACCCAACCCAACACAAAATATGTAATTATTCTACATCATAAAAATATTTTATAACAAATTAAAAATTCAAACGAATAAATCGAGGTGAAAGGTATCAAAATTCACCAATATTGTTTGAATTTTAATAAAACTTGATTTACTTCAACTTATGTCTAGTTTTTTTTCACGACATTTGTTGAAATAGGCTAAAAAAGTTACAAATGAACGCATCCATAATATGATATTCTTTTAAAATTGTACACAAGAAAAAGAATTACGTGAATCATAGCTATATTAAATCTATGTCTAAACTTTAAGTCGAAGAATGCATTAGATTAGTGAGAGCTTAAGAGAAAAACATGGCGAAATATCTTAATTTTCTCTTAAGTATGGCTATATACGACATAAATATTTTTTTGGATACGAACTCATACCAATAATTGGAACACGGGTTGGGTCGGGTTCTACGGGTTGTGTAATCCAAAATCCAAACCCAACCCAAAAGAGGCGGGTTGTACAAAAGAAAACTCTCACCCAACCCAAAATCTTCGATTTAGCGATAAATACGGGTGGGTTGGGTCGGATTGGACGGGTGAATCGGTTTGCGGGTGTATTTGTTCACCTCTAGTACCCATACACTCGAAATCTAATCACTTTTTTTTTTACAACAAAATCTAATCACTTCACATTGCTTAAACGTTCACCTCATTGAAATTTCATGGTATTATTCCCTTAATTTCAATGATTGGCTAATCGTAAAATTGTATCGAATTTTGTAGTAAAAAAATCAATAATATGGTATTTTATGCTAAAACTTTGATTCAACCATTTCAAAATTCAAACTGCTAAAAAACGTCTATCAATTTAGTTTTTATTAAAAAAAAAATTAGTTTAAGGTATGAGATTTTTTTCGATTGGACTAGTACAATTTCACAAATACGGCTTAATTTTTAACTTCTTTATTTTCATACACTTGGTTAACCTTGTGCTTATTTGATTTTGACACAACTTGTTTATAATACATTGTTGAGCTAAAGATTTCAAGAGCTCTATGGCTTTTGGAAAAGAATAGGGTTGCAGTGCCTGTATGGATGCAAATGAGTTGGGAGTTGGGACAAAGAATATTTCAGAGGAAAGTGAGATTGGGGCAGAGCATGGCCATGGCTTAAGAATAGAATAAGATGGGAGGTCGGGTCCCATCCCATGCTTTGGTCCGAGTACTACTAACTGTCCCCATTCCCCATTTGCGCTTTCTTCTTCTTCTTCTTCTTCTTCTCCTTCTGATGTTCCCTACCGTCGGTCTTCGAAGACTCTGCCTTTTTTCCTCCTGCTTTTACTCCATTTGTGAATTTCTGAGTAAAAGATGTTGACAGTGGAGAGAGAGAGAGAGAGAGAATGGGCAGAGCAGAGCAGAGTACCCCCTGTTTCAGAAAGAAAGTGAGGGTAAAATAAATGCACAGTAAACTGACAAAGAAACAAGGAATTGAATTTATAATTTTCTATTTTGAATATATATATTCTTTATTATTAGGGTGCTACTTGCTAGCTTGATCTTCACATTCCCCCTTCGACTTTGAGGTTTTCACTTCCATTATTTCTTTCTTTTGTAGAGAGAGAGAGAGAGAGAGAGAGACAGAGAGAGAGAGAGAGACAGAGAAGGGGAGGTGAGATGAGAGCTATAATGGCAATTTTGGATTCAGCATAGTGGGGAGGGAATTGCTTCTTTTGTTTTATTCAGGTGAGGAAGGAGGATGATGGTAATGCTGTGAGACCAAGCAGTTGGTGGGTTCTCTCTACTTTCCACCATGGCCATGGGAGACAATGGCTGCCGCTGCCGCTGCCGCTGCTCTTCTTCTTCCTGCTCCTGCTCCCTCTTCTATTAACCCTGTAGTGAGTTCAGTTCTGATCTTTCTTCCGCTTTGTCTTGTTGCAGTGATTTCAATTCTGCTCGCTTTTACTCGTTTCTCATCTCTTCCTTCTGGTTCATCCGCCGTTTCTTTTCTCTCTCTGTTTTATGTGCATTGCTGTTCTTTCCACCTCTGTTTCCTGGGAAATTTTTGGTGGGTGAGTAGGAAACTGATGGGAATTCTATGGTGGGTTTTTCCTGCAATTCTGTGAATTCAATCACCCAGCAGAATGGATCTGTTTTTCCTCTTTTGGGGGTGAGACCGTGAGATTTTGTTTGTTTCCATTTGCTGCATTGTTTGATTTCTGGCCAAGGAAAGCCTCAAGCTTTTAGATCTGAGTTTTCCCTTTTTACTCCATTTGGATTGAAGATCTAAATCTGTCATCTTCTTGTCCTGTCTTTTGCTCCTTTTGACCTCCAAATACAAGCTGGATTCACATACGGCTATGAGAGGCAACTTACATGAACTTGTTAACAATAATAAATTGTTTCATTTTAGTTTTCTTCCCAACATATTGGCATTCTAAATTACGTCAACTCCTAGAAGGTAGGAAGAAGAATCGACATTTGGTTTATTTGGCGTGCCTTAGTTGACTCTATCTGTAACCTTCTCCTTCACTTCCAGGGACATGTCAACTGTCCTTTGATTAGAATATATAGCCTTTCCCTTCACACCATGAACTGTCCAGCGCTGGCCAGCTACTTTTTAAATCCCTAACGTGCTGACAATTGATCAATTTCTGGAATTGATTGGCTAGTCCTAGAATTCAAGTCGTCTTTGCTTCAAAGGCTAATTGTATGTTCTTGCTGTATGTTTATGCAGATTGCAATCCAGCTATTAGTTTCTATGTTCGAATTATCTTTAAAGAAGATGAAACTCGGGTCAAAGAAAGGAGTGTGGAAAGCAATGATGCCCATCCGGCTGAGAAGTAAATCAGCCACACGTTTCTGCGTGTTTCCTAAGTCTAGAACAACGCCTAGCTATGGTCAAGGCAAATCACCGGTCTATCTCAATGTATACGATTTGACACCGATGAATGGTTACGTCTATTGGGCTGGTCTTGGCATCTTCCATTCCGGTGTTGAAGGTAATGCCAAGCCTAAGGAGCCACTTATAGACTTGCGTGTCTTGATCCTTGTTGGCGTGGAGTGTTTATCCCCCCGAAATGTATGTCTGTTTCTGCAGTGCACGGGGTGGAGTATGCGTTCGGAGCTCATGACTACCCCACGAGTGGCGTGTTCGAGGTTGAGCCTAGGCAGTGTCCAGGGTTCAAGTTCAGGAGGTCGATATTGGTTGGTACCACGTCTTTAGACCCAATGCAGGTTCGAGAGTTCATGGAGCAGCACGCAGCGAGCTACCATGGGGATACCTATCACTTGATTGTCAAGAACTGCAATCATTTCTGCAAGGATGTTTGTTACAAGCTCACGGGCAGGCCTATCCCCAAATGGGTCAACCGGCTGGCACAAATAGGTAAGAAGAGTTGAAAATAAAAATAAAAACACCCTGATGTTTCCATCTTCAGTAAACAACAATCAGTGGTGGAATGTTGTGTTGATTTGCTTCTCTTTGGGGCTCCTCCATTTCCAGGTTCGGTCTGCAACTGCGTGCTTCCCGAGTCGCTGAAGATAAACGCTGTGACCCATGACCCGAATGGTGAGCTACCATATGATAGCGAGAAGAGAAGGCTGAGAAGTGCATTCAGTTGCTTGTCTTCGATCTCTATGCGGCAGAGGCAGCTGTCGACTTCATCGTTGATTCTCCAGTCACCGTTGAGAGGCTGCCTGCCATGGGAGTTCAAGAGGTCCGTCAGCACTTCACTGAAGGAGAGATGATATGAGAACGATCTTTAACCGATGGGATGATGAAATGGTGGGTTTCTTTCCTGTGGTACTGGTGGAGAATTAGGGCAGTATAAATTGGTGTACTTTGGGTTGAGCCATCAGATTGATTTCATTGTCTCGAGCAAAGACATCAATTTTTGTTTGACTAGGAAGGTGATAGGGAACCCAGTAGTGGTCTACATTCTTCCAGAGTTGAAATGTATTTGTCAAGGCTGGCTGTAATCTATATGACTGATTCAGCTTGTACATAGAACTCGGTAGAGAATAACTTTGGCTGCATGGAGGCCGGGTTTGACATTGGGAGCTTATTTCCTTCTCCAATGTTTCTTTCCCAATGATGGATGGCTCTTGATATTCTGATAATTATGTTGATTGAAGAGCATCGTGTGACGAAAACTGAGGTGGGGAGACAGGGTTCCGACGGCGAAATTCTGGAAGGAGAGGAGACGTAGACCCTCCGACGGTGCTCTGATCAAAGCTTGCAAAACGAGTTTTGTGTGACAATTGCTTGATGCGAAACGAGATTAATGCTTGTCTGAAGCAATTGCTTGATGTGAAATGAAATTAATGCTCGTCTGAAAATTGCTATTTCATGCTGGTGAAAATTGGTCAATCTAGTCAATAACAACTGCCAAGTCAAATATAAATTTCTAGTCATTTAGTAAAATTGTACTATAAATTTCTAGATTCTAAACCATTCAATGATTTTAAATCTCATTCTTGAATTTTTTTTAATGTATATTGTTTAGACTGGTGTACTCCTAGTCCTGGAGTATACTATACTCCAGGTACTCTTAGCTAGATATCTCTATCTAAACCATGAATTAAATCGAGTTTGGGGTATGTACCTATACCAAGGTTGTTAACCCGCGGGTCGACCCGCGGGTTGACCCACTTTGACCCTGACCCGGTGAGAAAAACGGGCCGCACGCACCCGCCGGGTCGACCGCTACAAGGTACCGGGTTGGAGGTCAAATTGTATCATTTTTTTCTTTGTTTTGCGAAATGCGCCTATTTTCCGATTTTTCTTTTCGCCTACCTCAATCTTTGGAATCCTAAGTTGAACATTTGAATATTAATGTTATATAAGTCTGTGTGAATTTTCATTATATGTTGAATCTAAGTACGAAATGTTGTTTTGGTGTAATATTATATGTTATAACTCATATGTTAGATGAGATTTGATATAATTTATCAGGATAAGTACAATATAATGACGCTTTCCATATTTCCGGGCTAAACCGGGCTAAAACGGGTGACCCATTGACCCTTGACCCACTAGCTCAACCGGGTCCGGGTCAACCCGCGGGTTGACAACCTTGACCTATACCCTAAGCTCTAATTGATAAACCTCGCCCCCCATTCTCTAAACTCAAACCAGAAGTTCAACTTAATAAAAAATACTAATTGACCGTTGAATTTGGCTGGAGCTCAAAAAAGGAGATCTAACGGCCAGATCACTTGGAGTATACTATACTTAGGGCTGTCAGTTCGGTTGCCGGTTAGCGGCTAACCGGCTGGTCTAACCGGTAACCGCCGGTTAGCGGCTAACCGGAAACCAAAAAAAATGGGTGGCGGTCGGTTGACGGATGAGTTCAGTAGTTAGGCGGTTAGCCGTAAAACCGAGGCCGGTTAACCGGCTAACCGACACTAACCGACCGACCCTAAACAACCCCGTTTTGGCCTAAATAAAACTACCCTCTACCCACCTCTCCCTAACCCACCCACCTCTCCCTAAAAACTTTTGCTTTGTTCAATCACATCACTCTGCCACTCGCCCCTCTAAAAACAGAGCTAGCTAGCAGCTACCTCTCTCTCTTTCTCTCTCTCTCTCTCTTTCTCTCTTCTTCTGAGAATTCAGTACCAGCAAAGCTGGGTAGCTGCTGCACAACTTGAAAAGGGGGGAAAAGAGAACAGCTGCTGTGTGGAGGGAGAAGAGAACAGCTGCTGTGTGGACAGTGGCGGAGGCAGGGCCTTTTGGCCTTGTCCCGGGACAGGGGTAAATTTTGGTGGAACAAAAATATGTCATATATATTTATATTGGTGATGGAACATAACACGTATAGGTAGTATTAGAGTACTTTGTCACTACAACACAATTCATTATTTGTCCGAAATTGACATAAAATTAATTTATTATACGATAAACGAAATTCCAATTGCAATAAAAAACTAATCGGGTCTCTTTTCTCCTTATGCCTATTCGATCTGTCCCCAACAACCCTGAAATTGTCTAGCGACAACGGCAATCACACTAGTTTTGATCTACCAATTACAACTGCAAGTGTAAAAAGAGCATTTTCAGCTCTGAGTTATATTAAGAACAAGTTTTCAAGTCGATTTGGCGACCAGTTTGCTAATACTTGTTTAGTAAGATACATTGAAAGAGACTTATATAATAGTGTAGACAACGAATGTTTTTTCGCGTTTTGGATATAATTATTTTTTATTAAATAATTCTTTTATTAGATATTTATATATTTAAGTTATGCAAAAAGGACAGGGGTGGTTTGAAATGCTGGCTCCGCCACTGTGTGTGGAGGGAGAAAGGAAGAGCCTCGCCGCCCTCCCCGGCCTCCGTCGGCGCGCGCCCCGGCCTCCGTCGCCGCGCGCCCCGGCCTCCGTCGCCGCGCGCCCCGGCCTCCGTCGGCGCGCGCCCCGGCCTCCGTCGCCGCGCGCCCCGGCCTCCGTCGCCGCGCGCCTCGCCGCGCCGCCTCGCCGCGCCCCGCCCGCCTCGCCTCGCCCCGCCGCACGCCGCGCGCCTCGCTTGCCGTAGATCTGTTTGCCGGAGAGAAGGAGTAGATAAGAAAGGAGAGAGTAGAAGAAGGTGAGAGAAGAAGAAGGAAGGAGAGAGTAGAAGTCTGTTGGAGGAAGGAGAGAGGAGTAGATAAGAAAGGAGTGGTGGAGTTTTTTTTTCGTTTTAATTTTTTTTTTTTTTTGTGGAAAAATGTATTTTTTTCGGTTGGCCGGCTAACCGAGCCTAAAACCGGAACCAGCCGGTCGGTTGGTCGGCTAACCGTGACCTCTATTCGGTCGGTGGTCGGCAGCTATAGGGGGTGTCTCGGTTTAACCGATAACCGGGTTTTCGGTTTTCGGTTAAACCGAAACCGACCGATTGCCACCCCTAACTATACTCCTGGAATATACCAGTCATTACCATTGTTTAGTAACTACGATTGTGAACTATCAATAGAAAATAGAACTTTGTATTTTTTTTTAATTAAATGTCATATTTTCCTTAACCAAAAGAATCGGAGTACCTTGCAGAATATTGAAAATTTAGTAATTCACTGATAAATATATTTAGTGGGATAAATAAAAATTGAAACGATGAAGTAGGAGGAATAAATCTCAAAAATCAAAATGTAGAATCTTTCTAATTATTATAAGAGATATCTCCAGATTTTACAAATTTGAAATTTGTGAAGCTAAAATCTACTATAAAAAAATAATATAACTTCCTGTGTGAATTCAATGAATCTATGGCTCAAATTCTTTTCTTCAAACCACACGAAACGCAAACTGCGAGGAAGTTAGGAGAATTCATAGAAAGCTTTGCACCCAAAACGCAAACCTGCAAGGGGAAACATGAAATCGCTACCGAAGCCCCGGATCCACTCGAAGAATCGAAAAATACGTGTAAAATTACAAAACGTTTCGGATGCTCAAATTGAAAGCAAACTGAGATACATTTTCTATATTTGAGAATATATCATGTCAATTTCATAACACTTCAACTATTTATGAATCCAACGACAAGCCATAAATGATTAAGAAATTGCAACTACCAAAAAATATAGAAAATGGATCTAACAAATAGATTAACTTTTTCCATTACTTGCATAGAGCTTCAAGGGGCCATTGAGAGTCTTTAGTATACTGCCTGGCAATGTGGATGATAGAGCCATAGAAGGTCGCTCTTCAAATTAGACTCCTCAGTAGCAATGCGAATCGCTGACAGTGACAGAGAGGAGCCATAAAACCAACATTCTAGTTTTGCACTTCAGTTTTGTAGCCTCCATCAAATGGACTGTTGTGTTCAGATTTCCCATACTCGTAGAGAAGGGAATGCATCTTTTGGTTCGCAGGGACTTTATCTATACCCTTCTAGATGGCGTCAGTGGATCAGAACTTCAGCCAGATATAGCTGGTGAGCCGCGATTCGGAATGGGGAATTGTCATGCAACGGCGAGAAGAGAAGGATGCAGACTGCACCGACTTGTGCTCGACTATCTAGATGCAGCAGAAGCAGCTGTTATAGTCATTGATTCTGCTGTGCCTGTGGAGAGGCTGCCCATGATGGGAGTTCAAGAAGTCCGCCAGCCTTCCATTACCAGAATTCACACCTCTTGGAAATGCTATTCTCATAGAAACTGCTCACATAGGATAACTGCATGATCTGGACCTCTGCGTTCAGGTCGGAGTCTTCACAAAATGTAACTTTAGTTGATATAGTTCGCCAGATGAAGACCTTTATTGGCTTGCGGAAGAACAGTCGTTAGTGTCGAGAAATCGAGTTAAAACGGGACCGAAAGAGTCTCGGGGATACAACAACGCGCGCTGTAACTCAATATAGGCAAAAACTGCTGTTGTTAAGCTCCAGATAACTTACATGGTGTATGTGTGTGTGCCACTGCAAAAAAGCAGTTCAAAAGGGTTGAGCTAAAGAATTACATCTTTGTTTAGTTCTGCACATCCATATCCATTTATCGCTATTTGCTACTTTCCTGATTATATCATTTCTTCTCCCCTTTTCGCTTTCTTCCTTTTAAGGGGTTTCTTTCCTCTGTTTCCTTAATAAATGAATGGTACATATGGGCCAAGCAAGAACAAAACACTATACACAGACAAGACGGCAAACCCCAGAGTTAGCATTGTGATAACAAACCTGCAAAGGAACATGAAAAAGAGGAAATTGCTTCAGTTTTTCTTTTACTACAACAGAACAGCAGACCAAACTGTGTCTCTACTCTATAACGGGGTTACAGGAACATATGAAGTGTTTTCGACCGATACAACGTAAAGTTCCCTCTTTTTAACCGTTTTCAAGGGGGGACTGAACTACCAGCAATGTTAATCATAAGAAGAAGCTCAATAGAGAGAAGTGACATTATCATTCGGGAATCCAGGCCAGGATGAAATTTATCAATCGTCTTTGTGATGCAAAACACTAGGCAGGCTATTATTACCATTGAGTGCGGCAATGTATATTCTCTTCTCGGCTAGTCCAATATCTGACATTACTAGATCACCCTGCACCCACAACCAACACACCAAGAATAGTTGGAGCAGTAAACAGACTATTGTTTGTGTAAGTACGGATTAAGACACATGATTACTATGTACACAGCACCATAGCTAAAACGTAAGCATGTACCTCGCGTGCCATCAACCGCCGGATATTATTAGCATATAGTTTAGGGTCAGTCTTCTCTTCTTGGGAAGGGTAGTAAACAGGTAGCCTAATCACTTCCAAGTGATTTACAAATTGGCACAACAGAAGAATTACATGACGGAACTGCAGTGGAAGACATGTCAAAACTATTATGATGAGTAAACAAGAGAATTTTCTAGCCAGAGACACTTTCCAGATAACCATATACCGATATGTAAGACAAAGTTCATCTACATGTATATTTAAACAGGAATGGAAAGCTCACCCCCGATATCGAATCCCAGGCAGCACTAAACCTCTGGTATGGATACCGCAGAATCACTGGAATAACAGGTGCCCCAGCTAAGAATCCACCCGTCTTAAAAGGAAGGAGGAAGTCCCCATTAGTAGTGGTTCCTTCTGTTAAAATGTTGCAGATAAAAAACAAGTGTTAGTGAGCCCGCTGAACTGAATGGTATTATCATTCTTACAGCATTTCTATGCGAGAAGGATACAAAATGTATACTGACAGATAGAAAGAGCAAAAATTCATTATAATGTCGATAAGGTCGTCTTTATGCTACAAAGACAAGAATAGAGAAGTCACAATGGAGCTTCCAGAATGACGTGTTTAACCAGTAAAAAGAGACAAGATTAGTTATTCTGGGAGTTGAAATTACTCGGAAGAACTCTGCAGCCTTGTAATAAGGCGCCCTTTTGCTAGGTGGTTCAGACCCATAGAAGGTTTGACATACTTGGGGTTGCTTCCAAAAGAGCTTAATCTAGAAAGATTTATGACAACAGGATCTCCGAGAAACTGATTTATGCCTACTTCCATGGGTAGTAACAGATTTCCCACTTGGAACATCATGACCAGATAATATGGGACACAAGGAGAGTAATATCCTGCGACTAAACTACCAATACCATAAGCTGCTATATCGAAATTAGGAAGTAAAACCATAAACAAACTTCAAGCCATTAGAACCAAAACTGTTTGTATATGTTTTTCCTATTATCATTTGTAAAACAAATATATATTATATCATAAAACCAACTGATAACAACTTGAGTGAACAAACATAACAGTTTTAGATGTCACTAACCAGGAAATAACATCATCATGGGAGCAGATTCATCCTCATGAGATTCTTTAACTCTCTCAATCACAATGCCTGCAAGATTTTTTGGATTTAAAATCTATAAATAAATAAAAAAGTGATATATGGTTCTTCCCAAAGCTACAATATCACCATAACTATCTACTCCTTCATATATTGCAGCACAAATATGTAGCTTTGGTGAATTGGTACTGAACGTATGGATGCTTTGACATCCAACAAACCATTGCACGATTATATTAGCCTTATTTTAGACCCAGTGTAAAAGAGGTCCCTTGCAATAAGTACCCCCTTTAAGGACTACGTTCAAGTTTCATGAGTCGCATAGTATAAGAATAGCAGGTCCTGCACAGTGCATACCTGCAACACCTTTAAAGTCAGATGACTTCGACTCCCGTTGGACAAAGACGCATCCAAGGCACTTGCTGTCAGATAACAGAACACGAAAGCAAAAATTACCTTTCATATTCAGACAAGATCATTTCTTGTAGACCTCTTACAACACTTGAACACAAAAGAGAATAGTTATGATGATGAAGTGAACTAACCTGATGAGACCGACCAAAGGAAGTTTACCCACTGATCTCTTGGGCACCAGAAGATTCGGTCAATAGACCACATAAAACGAAAAGAAGCAATCAGTAATAGCAGCAAAAAGTTTCAGAGTACCACCATCATAAGAATAAAAAAAAATATATGGCAGGCTTGAGCATACCTTGGCAACAAAGCTGGAAAAAGACGACGACATGTGGTACAGAATATCAACATACGAGACATGGTTGCATACTATCGCCCCTGGTCTTTCAGGTCGTTGTGATTGGATTTTGCCATCGTTCTGATCCAAAATTCAAGAGCAGGGGAATACAAATGTAAAGTAAGATATAGCTCTCTTTGAAACTAAAAATTCCAGGTAGACAACACATTTAAGAGGGCCAGACTGAATGCAGTATAGCAACAAGCTGAAGCATAAAGCAAGTATCAATGACTTCAGAAGCTGGGTGATTGACACAATCCCAAGTCCCATTTCAGAAAGCTGGCTAGAGAGAGACAGTTTCTGTAACTCATTATGAGCCTCGAAAGTCAGCAGAACACCATACATAATTTCAGCTTGGAATAAATAGTCATTCATCTCCTACTTCCTCTATTCCTCCTTTTGGCCAATTTTGTACTCAGTGGAGTGGCAGCATTCTTGTAACCAATAAGCAGCAGTAAGCCACAAAATCCCAAGACACCAATTACCAAAAAAAAAGCATGCAACCAGAGTACGGATAGAGCATTCCCAGCTATTCAATAATGGCAGGACACGAATACCAACACAAATCAGAATTTGCAGATACCAAGTATGCATCATATACGGAAGAACTGGTAAAATACCTGAGAGGATGACTTGCCTTGAGGCGGAGATTGCTCTTGCTCTAAATCCCTAAAACTCTCGCTTATCCAATAAAACCCAAACACAAACAGCATGACCCTGGAGAGGAACCTGCCACAGGAGACGACGACGGTCCTCCGCCACCCTCTCATGTGAGCGAAGTCCTCCTGCTCCTCCGCCGCCTCGTCCCGATTGGGCGCGGAGAAGAGCGTGCAAATCCTACACACCAAGTAGTAGAAGAACAAGATGAGGGTGGCCAGCACGACGCGCAACGGGAGGAGCGTGACGCAGGCGACGCCGAGCAGGAGCTTCTCCACGAGCGGCAGCTCCCCGCGGCCGAGCGGACCGTAGACGTCGTGGCGGGCGAACGCGGCGAACTTCTTGTTCAGCTCTTCGAGGCTCTCGGCGGAGATTCGGCCGGAGGAGGACGAGCAGGAGTCGGATTTGAGGAGCGGCCGGTCGTCCTTCTGTGAGGCGTCGTCGACGGGGGACGCCGATGAGGGAGAATCGGGGGAGATGACGTGGCCCTTGGGAGGCACTGGTTTAACATCGTGGAGCTCAGTCTCCATCATTTTTTTTTTCTGATGGAGAAGGCGGCCAGCGAGTGATGATCGGCGGAATCGGAAGAAGTTAGAAAGGTTGACGGTGGAGAGAGAGGAGCGGATCTTGTCGTCGGCGCCGGCGTAGATCTATCGGTGGAAGAAGGAGCGACATGGCGATGAATGATGATTAGGCGCTGAGACGACTCTCTGTCTCTATCCCTCTCCCTTCTCGTGAAGATTGCGGACGCGGAGATAATTCCGTACGGGAAGTCCCAACGCAGTCAGTCAGGCTGTCACGTCGCCGTTAAGTGACGGGTCGGGATACAGATGGTTCGCTGCTGACACTTGGATTGGTCTGATCCGACGGATGATTATTGAGTACGCTTGGAAGCTAACGGACCACCCAACGCAGCCACGATCTCTGTGTAATACAATAATATATATATATACTATTAAAATGAAAAAGCATGATCCGTGAATGATTAACTGGGTTAATTATCTGTCGTAAGTCTTGACTATTAACCGGGCAAGGACGGGTTCCAACCACTCTTCTATCAAAAATGTTGGGAGACGGTTGGGAATTCGCTGGTTGCATTTGTGACAGCCTGCTTCTCGCAACCTGTTCTCATCCAATCGGTTAACGAGACTCTTCTGGTGCTCATCCCGAAGAAGGAGAGTCCGGATTCTTTGAAACTGTTCCGGCCGATCAGCCTTTGCAATGTAGCTTACAAGACAGTGGCTAAATGTGTGGTTCAACGGATCCAACCCCTGATGCGCCGGCTAGTCCACCCCACTCAAACCAGTTTTGTTCCTGGGCGTCACATATCTAGTAACATTATCATCGTCCAGGAGGTTGTTCACTCGATGGGGCTGAAGAAGGGAAGGAAAGGGCAGATGATTCTTAAAGTAGACCTAGCTAAAGCGTATGACAGGCTGAGCTGGTCGTTCATCAGAGATACTCTTCAGGAAGTTGGCTTTCCCCCCACTCTAATTAATGTGATCATGGAATGTGTGACCTCTTCCTCGATGCAGGTTCTTTGGAATGGCAGTTGCACGGAGTCTTTCACCCCTTCTAGGGGGATCCGCCAGGGCTGCCCTCTATCTCCATATATATTCACTCTGTGTATGGAGAAGCTGAGCCACACCGTTCAGGATGCTGTCCAGAAAGGGGATTGGAAGTCGATCCGCACTTCCCCAGGCGGCCCAGCCCTAACCCATGTCTTTTTTGCTGATGATCTAATCCTGTTTGCAGAAGCCAGTGAGGAACAGGGTGAGGTGATTATGGACTGTCTTGACCGCTTCAGCCAGGCATCGGGCCAGCAGGTCAGCAAAGAGAAGTCGGTAGTCTTTTTCTCAGAGAACACTACAAGGCAGAGAAGTACTATCATTGTAAATCGTATGGGCATACCTATGACGCAGGACCTGGGGCGGTACCTTGGTGTACCAGTTCTGCATGGGAGAGTAACTAAGCAAACTTATAAATATATTTTAGACCGCATTGACAACAAACTTGCAGGATGGGCAGCCAAGAACCTCACTCTTGCGGGGCGTGCAACCTTGGCAATGTCGGTCATTAGTTCCCTTCCCACTTATGCAATGCAAACTTCGTTCCTCCCCATCTCAATCTGCGATGAGATTGATAAGAAGACTCGCAGTTTCATTTGGGGAGCCACGGGGGACAAGAGAAAGATTCATCTAGTCCACTGGGAGGGCGTATGCCAGCCTAAACGGGATGGGGGCCTTGGTTTTAGGAAGGCGCATGAATTAAACTTGGCCTTTCTGGCAAAATTAACATGGCAGTTTATTAAAAACCCCGAGGAGCTGTGGGTGCAGGTACTCCAGGCAAAGTATTTCAAATCGGTGAATGGAGTTACTGTGGCGAAGTCAGTGGCTCGAGCGTCCTCTCTTTGGCGTGGGATGAGGAAAGCTTGGCCGATCATGGAGGCGGGGATGCTGATGCGGTTGCGGGATGGAGAGTCGACCAGTATGTGGACTGACCACTGGGTCGCGCCGGGGGTGGTCCTTCTAGATCACCTGCTCGAAGGATGCCCGCCGATTGACATGAACAGCTGTGTGGCTGCGTTTGCCCCTAATGGTAAGTGGGATTTTGATTTATTGGCGCTATACTTACCGGAGGATATGATCTTGCAGATAGCAGGGTCAGAACCGCCGAGGGAAGGTGCAGGGGAGGATGAACCTATTTGGGGGCCGGAAGTGCAAGGACAGTTCAGTGTCCGTTCGGCGTATGCTCTGGCAGCGAACCTTGAGGAGAGCAGCAACAAAACGCGTTGGAAGGCTATCTAGAACTGGGAGGGTCCGGAAAGAGTGCGGCATTTTCTTTGGTTAGCCGTGCGCGAGCGCCTTCTCACCAACACCGAGCGGGAGCGGAGGAAACTGACGTCACGGAACCAGTGCGGCAGCTGCAATGGAGAACCAGAGACAGTCCTGCATGTGTTGCGGGACTGTCCTTTTGCCAGGTTAACTTGGATGAACCTAATCCCACCTTCTGATTATCACCACTTTTTCGGAGACAGTTTGCAGGATTGGATTGAAAAGAACCTCAAGGCCGAGCATACGGGCCTCAGTTTTGGTCTCACTTGCTGGTCTCTTTGGAAGTCCATGAACGATCGAGTCTTTGCAGGCAAGATTGTGACAACTGAAGCCTTTCTTCAGCGCGTCCAGGCTTGGATAACTGTAGTGAGAAATGCCTTGGACAAGGATAGGCTCCTTCATAAGCCTAATCCGCCCGCTAGAACGGAGGTGGAGATCTCGTGGAAGCCGCCACCTCCTGAGTGGGTCACCCTCAACACAGACGGCTCCGTCGTTCATGATTCAGGTCACGCCGCAGCTGGTGGCCTGTTAAGAGATCATACGGGCAGATGCCTTCAGGCATTTGTGATGAACCTGGGGTTGTGCTCTATCACCCGGGCAGAGTTGAGGGGCGCTGTAGAAGGACTTCAGTTGGCTTGGGATGCTGGTTATAGACATGTCAGACTTGAGTTGGACTCCGCTTGTGCGGTACAGCTGCTACGGAGTCCGGACTCATCGGAGCATCACCATGCAGCCATCATTGATAGAGCTATTGAGCTGCTTCAGAGACAGTGGGAGGTTGAAATTGCCCACATTTACAGAGAAGGCAATAAGAGTGCCGACTATCTTGCTAGTAGAGGCCACCATGTACCTTTGGGTGTTCATTTGTTTCCGGTCACAGACCCTATCCTGTATAACTGGATCTTGTATGATGTTCAGGGGATCTCCGAACCCTGGGTGATTATGAATGAAAGGTAGGGTGCAGGTGCATCCATTTAATAAAAAAAAAATGAAGACAGCCAAGATGAAGTTCCGTATTAATTAAGAAAATTGAGGTTGGATTCGTGATCCAATTAGAGAGATACTCTTGTAGACGATGTACAAATGCTATTGGGACGTGTAAAAGGAAAACAAGTCTAAATAATAATAGAGAAGGATTGTTGATAACTTGATCGTGATAAATAAAAATAAATAGTTTTGAGATTTCGGGTAAAAACATCTTTAATCTTTTACAATTGTCACTCGGATAGTCAAACATCATTAATTTGACTACAATTGATTGTGTGGCCCACGTTGCCTCTTCTGTCGCATTCAAGCCCATGGCCGCTGCAGCTACTATCGGCCCAGTACTGCCACATGCAGTAGCAAAGCCCAAGGCCGACTTTAACGGTCTATCTAAGATCTATAGACTATAATGCTGTAGGAAACTAGGAATGCAACTAGCCACCAAATGAAGAATGAGAATCATGAGTTGGAATTGTAGGGGGTTTGGCCAACCCCTTACAAGAAGCTATTGCAGCAGATTTTGCAGGAATCTAGGCCCATCTATCCTCTTCCTAATGGAAACCAAGAATGATGAAGATTTCATGGAGGAGAAGAGGAAACAGATGAAGTTCTCTTTTTCGAAATATGTTAATCCTAATGTAGGGGGCAGTGGTTTAGCACTCTGGTGGAATTCTGGGGTCTCTATCCATGTTATAGACTCTAGTAGCAATTTCATAGATGTGTGTATTAGTTATGGTGGTAGTGATTTCTTTTGCACGTTTGTTCATGCCCCTACCACTGCAGTGGAGAGAAGGGCTTTTTGGGAGCGTATGAGCTCTTTTAGAAGTAGTATAGTAGAAAAATGGTTGATAGTGGGGGACTTGAATGTAGTTCAGTTTGATTACGAGAAGGAAGGGAGATGTCCCCTTCGAAATGAAAATGTGGCTCCGTTCAAGTACTTCATCGCCCACAATGCTTTGATGGATTTAGGCTTCAAAGGTCAAAGATTCACTTGGACTAATAGGCAACAAGGTACCAACCTCATTAGAGAAAGACTTGATAGAGCCTTGTGCTCTACTTCTTGGAGGGCTGATTATGATAAAGCGGTTGTTTTTCATGAAGAGATGATTGAATCGGACCATTGCCCTATAAGGGTGGACATCAATTTCAACAATAACAGGAGAAACACCCCTTTCAGGTTTGACAAGAGATGGAAGGAAAAAAATGAATGTGTTGTGATTGTTCAGAATAATTGGAATCTGGTTGGGGACTCCAGCAGCAAAATGGCGAAATGTCAGGCTGATCTTAAAGATTGGGCTAAGATGGACAGAATTGAAAGAACGAAAAGAGAAGAGGAGATCAAAGTGAGGCTGCAAGCTCTTCAAGGTCCAAATAGAAACCAATCTGATGTGGATGAGGAAAAGCTTCTCTTGGGGGAGCTGGCAGGCATTTGGAAGTCTGAGGAGTCTTTTTGGGCTCAATGCTCTCGAGTCAATTGGCTCAAAAAAGGAGACCAAAACTCTGGTTTTTTCCATTCTAGCACTATTCAGAGAAGACATTCAAATCGCATTCTCAGGCTTAAGAATGTTGCAGGAATCTGGATCAACAATGAACAGCATCTTAAAACAATGTCTCAGGATTACTATAAGGAGCTGTTCCAGGCTCGTCCTCCTTCTCATTTTGATCATCTCCTTCAAGATTTCCCCAACCTGGTCACGAATGATATGAATCGGGACCTTTGTGCTAATGTTGAAAATGAAGAAATCAGAAAAGCTGTCTTTCAGTTGGGACATTCTAAGGCCCCGGGTCCGGATGGTTTTCCTGGTTTTTTCTTCAGGAAATTCTGGCCTCTTATTGGGGAACAGTTTTGTGAGGAAGTCAGGGGTTTTTTTGCATCTAGTCATCTTCCTGATGGGTGGAATGACACTCATATCTCGCTTGTACCTAAAGTGGAAGTCCCGGAAGTTATTGGCCATTTCCGCCCGATCAGTTGCTGCAACTTCCGGTATAAGGTCATTACCAAAATTATGACCTCTAGATTGCAAAAATGGCTCCCTGAGCTGGTCTCGGAACTTCAGACGGCCTTTACAGGGGGGAGGCAGATTCAAGACAATGTTATTATTGTGCACGAGGTTCTGAATCATTTCAAGAAGCATAAAGTGGGAAATCGACAAGACATGATGCTCAAGCTTGACATGAGAAAAGCTTATGACCTGGTGGATTGGGATTGTCTTGATAAAATTCTTGTTCTCTATGGTTTTGATCCGAAATGGTGTGCTTGGGTCAGAGAATGCATTAGAACTGTTAAGTTCTCTCTTTTGTTCAATGGTGAAGCATCACCAATGTTTGCACCTACAAGAGGAATTCGTCAGGGAGACCCTATTTCCCCTCTTCTCTTTATTCTCCTTTCAAATGCTCTCTCTTTTCTCATTGATAAGGCGGCATGTTTGAATGTTTTTCGAGGAATTAAGTTGAACCGTAACTGCCCCACTCTTACCCATTGTCTTTTTGCAGATGATACTGTTATTTTTGGAAGGGCCTCTGAAGAGGAAGCGGCTAGTATCATGAATATCATCTCCTCCTACAGCAATATTACTGGTCAAGAAGTGAACAATACGAAATCATCAGTTTTCTTCAGTTGCAATGTCGATGATGGGAAAAAAGCTCAAATCACGCAGATGTTGGGATTCAACTCCTCGACCTGCCATGCTACTTATCTTGGGGTTCCTACGGAATGGGGCAGGTCAAAAAAAGAAACGTTTGAATTTCTTATCACTCGTATGGAGAAAAAAGCTGATGCTTGGAAGAGCCTTTTATTGTCCCCCGGAGGGAAGGAAACCCTCCTGAAAGCAGTGATCCAGGCGATCCCGACTTACATTATGTGCCTTTTTCTCATGCCGGGATCAACCACTAAAAGGATGGATTCTATTCTTCGGAGATTTTTCTGGTCAGGATCTTTACACAAGAAGGCTATCCACTGGTGTGATGCAAAGGTTCTGTGTAGTCCAAAAGAGGAAGGAGGGATTGGGTTCAGATCTTTCAAAGAATTCAATCTTGCTTTACTTGCAAAGCAAGCCTGGAGGATTCTTGAGAACCCTAATGCTTTGTGGGTGCGTTTGCTCAAGGGTCTCTACTTCCCTAGATCTGATTTTCTTCATGCTAAGAAAGGAGGTCGAGCATCTTGGATTTGGGCTAGCATTTGGGAAGCAAAGCGGATGATGGAGCTGGGTATCATCAGAGTCATTGGAAATGGAGAGTCCACCAGTTTCTATCATGATCAATGGATTCCTCATTTTCCAGGGGGAAAACTCAATGGGTCAGTGAATCAGCAAGAACGAGTGGTGGAGTTCATCAACATGAATGAGAGAACGTGGAATGAGCCTGCCTTACACCAAAAAGCTCCCCCAGGCTCTGTCCAAGACATTAAGCGAGTCCCCATTGGATTAGCTGACGCCCCAGACTTCTGGGCTTGGAGATTCACCACAAAAGGCAACTTCTCAGTGGCCTCAGCGTACCATGCCTTCCACGACAAGACAAGAACTCAAATGACAGGCTATCTACCCCCTTCGATTCATGACAAGGAGAGATGGAAATGGATTTGGAAACTCTCCCTCCCTCCAAAGCTGAAATTTTTCATCTGGAAGTGTGCAAGGAAAGCTTTGGCGACTAAAAGTCGGTTGTTCAGCCGCAAATGCTCCCCAAACCCCACCTGCCCTGTCTGTTTGGCTGCCGAGGAGTCCATCCATCATTGTTTGTTTGAGTGCCACCATGCTAGGGAGGTTTGGCATTTGATTTTTCCCTCTTTGGCCACTGCCACTGCTAACTCCAACATTATCCATTGGTTATTCCAGCTGAAGGACGTGATCCCCTCCCATTCAATCCTTCTCATCATCTACACCCTTTGGAATATCTGGAAGACTAGAAACGAGAAAGTTTTTCGCAGTGCCATTCCTTGGCCTCCTCTCACATGCTCCAATGCAGCAAGAGATGCCAATGAATGGTCGACGTGCATCTCTACTCGGACTACCTCCTCTGTTCCTGTGGTCCAGCCTATTCACCCCTTGATTCAGCCTACACCACCGCCGAGTAACCCCTCATGGGAGGTTCACTGTGATGGATCGTTCTTAAACGATTCCCAGGAGGCGGCCTTTGGCATTGTTGTCATCAATAGCCATGGTCAAGTCTGTGATGGGAGAGCTGGAACTTTGCTTTGCGCTGCCCCAATTGAAGCTGAAGCAAAAGCTTTACATGAAGCTTTGATTTTGGCCCAAACTCTTCCTGGTCCTGTGATTGTCCGTTCTGACTGCCAAGTGCTGGTCAATGCACTGTTGTCCCCCCATCACCCGTGGCCGTGGAACTGTGCGGCTCTGTTGGGGGTCATGAAGGAGATTCTCAGGAGATTCCCCTTGATCGAGGTCAGGTTTTTTCGGAGGAATCTCAACGTTAGAGCTGACTGGGTTGCAAGATCGTTGGCCCATAATTCTCTTCCTGTCGACTGGATTGTTGTTCTGGGTTTAATTTCAGATTCTTTACTGTAATGGCTGTTGCCTTAACTTTGATCAAGGAATGCAATATAAGCGGCCCCTTGTCAAAAAAAAAAAACTACACATTGTAGAAAGACTTGGCCGTTCTTGTACTAGTTCCTCCTCGTTTCCAAACGAACTGGATCGACGTCAAAACCATAGAGACAGTGGATCCTAAAAGGCTAACACCAGATCCCAAAGAAGAGTAAAATTGGTAGCAATACTTCCCAAGAAAATCAGGAACTAGCCATACCCATCATTGCTTCGTGGCTGAAAGTGGTGTTATAGCAAGGAGCAAAACAGCTCATCCTACAGCTCATCTGCAGAGACTGATTGAAGCTTTCTCAAGTCGGAGCTCTCAAGAAGAGAAACATGCTGCTAGCAAACCAAACACCAATTCTGCAGATTCAAACTACAAGAAGAGAAGAACTCCATAGCATACAGCTCATGAGCT